CCTCACCTCACCTCCCCTCACCTCACCTCCCCTCACCTCACCTCACCTCCCTCTGTCACCTCCCCTCACCTCACCTCCCTCACCCTCCCTCACCTCCCCTCACCTCACCTCCCCTCACCTCACCTCCCCTCACCTCCCCTCACCTCACCTCCCCTCACCTCACCTCACCTCCCTCTGTCACCTCCCCTCACCTCACCTCCCCTCACCTCACCTCACCTCCCTCTGTCACCTCCCCTCACCTCACCTCCCCTCACCTCCCTCCATCACTCACCCCCTACCTTCTCTAACCTCTCCTCCCCTCACCTCTCCTCACCTCCCTTCCTCACCTCCCCCACACCCACCCCCAACCCTAACCCCACAACCTCCACCATCAGGCGCTCGCGTGACCGCGACGGACGTCAAGGAGGTGCTGGCCTCCCTCTCGACGAACATCACCAACAACACGCGGCGAGGCGCCGGCCGCCCCGAGGTGCGCGAGCTCTCCTGGGGCCGGGGCCTCTCGGCCTTCGACCCCGCGGCCTACGACTACGTCGTGGCCAGCGACCTGGTCTACAAGGAGGCCTCGCTGGGGCCGCTCGCCCTGACGCTCAGTCACTTCCTGGCCGGCGGCGGCGAAGGCGGAGGTGCCACGGCGTTGTTCGCGCTCAAGTTGCGTTTCGGCTTCTGCGGCGAATTCGTTCGCCGCCTCCGCCGGACGTTCCGCGTCCGCACCCTCGCCGAGTGGCCCGAGGACGAGACGCTCATCCTCGAGCTGAGGGGGGCTCGGGCGAGAGGGAAGGGCGGGGAAGAGGAGGGGGAGGAGGAGGAGGAATGGATGAATTGGAACGAGGAATAGGGTTTAGGGGTCATGGGGGTGGGTGGGTAGAAATAATCCGTTGACGCCATCGCCTGGTAGCCGGGAATGAGGTGACAGGGATGAGAGGATTGGGGGGGGGGGTGGGCGGGAGGGGAGAGAAATGGTGAGAGGGGATTGTGGGGATAATAGGGGGCATGGCGGAGGAGGGGAGAGTTGTGGGTGAAGGAGGGAGCTGTGGATGAAGGAGAGAGCTGTGGATGAAGGAGAGAGCTGTGGATGAAGGAAGGAGCTGTGGATGAAGGAGAGAGCTGTGGATGAAGGAGGGAGCTGTGGATGAAGGAGGGAGCTGTGGATGAAGGAGAGAGCTGTGGATGAAGGAGGGAGCTGTGGATGAAGGAGGGAGCTGTGGATGAAGGAGAGAGCTGTGGATGAAGGAGAGAGCTGTGGATGAAGGAGGGAGCTGTGGATGAAGGAGGGAGCTGTGGATGAAGGAGAGAGCTGTGGATGAAGGAGGGAGCTGTGGATGAAGGAGAGAGCTGTGGATGAAGGAGAGAGCTGTGGATGAAGGAGGGAGCTGTGGATGAAGGAGGGAGCTGTGGATGAAGGAGGGAGCTGTGGATGAAGGAGGGAGCTGTGGATGAAGGAGAGAGCTGTGGATGAAGGAGGGAGCTGTGGATGAAGGAGAGAGCTGTGGGTGAAGGAGGAGAGAGCTGTGGATGAAGGAGAGAGCTGTGGATGAAGGAGAGAGCTGTGGATGAAGGAAGCAGAGAGCTGTGGATGAAGGAGGGAGCTGTGGATGAAGGAGGGAGCTGTGGATGAAGGAGGGAGCTGTGGATGAAGGAGAGAGCTGTGGATGAAGGAGGGAGCTGTGGATGAAGGAGAGAGCTGTGGGTGAAGGAGGAGAGAGCTGTGGATGAAGGAGAGAGCTGTGGATGAAGGAGAGAGCTGTGGATGAAGGAAGCAGAGAGCTGTGGATAAAGGAGGGAGCTGTGGATGAAGGAGGGAGCTGTGGATGAAGGAGGGAGCTGTGGATGAAGGAGAGAGCTGTGGATAAAGGAGGGAGCTGTGGATGAAGGAGGGAGCTGTGGATGAAGGAGGGAGCTGCAGATGAAGGAGAGAGCTGTGGATGAAGGAGAGAGCTGTGGATGAAGGAGAGAGCTGTGGATGAAGGAGGGAGCTGTGGATGAAGGAGAGAGCTGTGGATGAAGGAGGGAGCTGTGGATGAAGGAGGGAGCTGTGGATGAAGGAGGGAGCTGTGGATGAAGGAGGGAGCTGTGGATGAAGGAGGGAGCTGTCTGACGCCTGTTGTATATTTGGCATTTGCGCGTTTCTCTCTCTCCCCGTGGTCACGTGGATTTTTCTCCGGCTCCTCCGGTTTTTCCCTCCACGTTGTACTCTCCAACACACAACCAGTTAGTGCTGTACTCGTGTAGTGTCCTCCTTCCCCGAGGCGTGCATGTGTGTGTGTGTGCAAAGGAGATGTCTCATAGTGTAAATGCTTACCCCGAGCTCTCAATACTCTGATAGTGCGCTGTCTTTGAGTTGTACGCCTTTTGGCGTCATCTGGTCCAACACCATGTGAGACTAGGCTCTAAGAAAAGCTGTCTCGGGTGTGAACCAATCAACTTCAAGGACAGTGCATATCATTATCATCATCAGAGTTGTTTATTTTTGTTTGCATGTTGACTGCTTGTGTTGTGGTTATTGCAAACATGATGCCTTGTATAAAGGTGTCAGTTTTTGTACCAGTTGAAAGGGTAAAAACATACTACTATATTTTGCCACTGGTAAAGGAGGTATCATAGTGTAAATGCTTAACCCGAGCTCTCAATACTCTGATAGTGCGCTGTTTTTGAGTTGTACGCCTTTTGGCGTCACCTGGTCCTACACCAATGGAGACTAGGCTCTAAGAAAAGCTGTCTCGGGTGTGAACCAATCAACTTCAAGGACAGTGCATATCATTATCATCATCAGAGTTGTCTCTTTTTGTTTGCATTTTGACTGCTTGTGTTGTGGTTATTTCAAACATGATGCCTTGTATAAAGATGTCAGTGTTTGTACCAGTTGAAAGGGTAAAAACCTACAAGCATAGTAGTAGTACTTACATCATCCCACGATGCAAAGTCTTCGAGATTGTACCGGTAAGTACGCTACACAGTAAAGACGGTCGCTCTTTAATGGTAGGATATTTATTTCCCGTCTGTTGAACGCCTAGCAAAGGCTTTCGCGACCAACATTATCCATAATGGAGCTTAGTTTGGGTTCGATCGCGTGAATTGTCAAATGTGCATTGTCACACCCGCCACACCACCCGACACACACAGCCACTTAGTAAAGCGGTGTTTGTCACGTAATCTGGTTGTCCGCCTGTAGATGCCGGTTGTTGTTGTTGTAATTACCGGCGAAAAGTGACGGTCTTACTTATTGGCTGAGTAATCAGCTGGTGGTGGCGGATTTAACGTCACAAATTTCCTGATGATACCGGTTGTAATGTACTAGCGAAAGGTCACGGTCACTTGAATTGTAAATGTTGTAGTGGGGTTTACCCTCCAACACACCGGTGGTGCTGTACTAGTAACGAATTGGCCACGTTTGGTTTACGAGACAAACCTTCCTACTTATTGAGCTGTGTGTCGGGTGGTGGCGGGTTTAACATCACAAATCTCCTGATGATACCGGTTGTAATTTACTCGCGGAACATCACGGATAGTCGAATTGTCAACGTGTGTTAGTGGGGTTTACCCTCCAACACACCGGTGGTGCTGTCCTAGTAACAAATTGGCCACGTTTGGTTTCCGTGACAAACCTTCTCACTAATTATGCTCATTGGTTCTTTCGGTAAAGTCACGTATGTTTTTTTACCGAAAGAACCAATGAGTAATTGTCTGTGCATCAGGCGGCGGGCTTAACGACACAGCGTTGATATTCACGCGAGCCAAACCCTAAAACTAACCTCCATTGTGGATTATTTTCCACCTATTCCAACGCAATAAACGCATTTCACGCACTGAAAACAAGTATAAATATCCATACGGTACACACACAACGCCTGAGAAAACACAATGTCATGCATGAAAGTGCAAAAATAAGCTATTTTAAATCATCAAGATTGCCAGCCTCAGCCACCATCACCTCCCCCACTGCACCATCGCCTGATTCCTTTTGCCAAACCCGAATACCGACGGCCGTACTACGCCCGCCCGCCTGCCATCCGACCTTCCGACCTTCCGTTAATTTCTCAGTCCGCGTATCCTGGTGAGGGCCTCGGGAACGCGACAACTTCCGTCCACGTCTGTTCCTACTTCGTCTTCATCGTCGCATCCACCTCCTCTTGCTCCTACTGCCTCCTCCACCACCTCCACCTCCTTCACCTCCACCTCCTCATGCTCCTACTGCCTCCTCCACCACCTCCACCTCCTCCTGCTCCTACTGCCTCCTCCACTACCTCCACCTCCTTCACCTCCACCTCCTCATGCTCCTACTGCCTCCTCCACCACCTCCACCTCCTCCTGCTCCTACTGCCTCCTCCACCACCTCCACCTCCTTCACCTCCACCTCCTCCTGCTCCTACTGCCTCCTCCACCACCTCCACCTCCTTCACCTCCACCTCCTCATGCTCCTACTGCCTCCTCCACCACCTCCACCTCCTTCACCTCCACCTCCTCCTGCTCCTACTGCCTCCTCCACCACCACCTCCACCTCCTCCTGCTCCTACTGCCTCCTCCACCACCTCCACCTCCTTCACCTCCACCTCCTCCTGCTCCTACTGCCTCCTCCACCACCTCCACCTCCACCTGCTCCAGACCTCCCTTTCCCCTGGTTGGCGATGGACTCCCCCAGCTCTTCCCCGGGGGAATTCCCAGGAGCTCCCAGGCCAGGCGAGCATCGTGGTCCCGCCAGCGTGTCCTGGTCCGTTCCCCCAAGGCCGGTCTTGCGCCCCCGTCATTTCCTTACATTTTTTGTTGCCAAATTGTTCCCGCAGTCGGTGAGCGTTTGTCAAGCGCCTCGGGCCAAGATGGCGCCTGAACAAATCCCGAGTGGAGTAATCAAAAGGGCCCATTTGGCAGCCCCAGGGAAGGCGCGCGCACCCCCAGGTTTAAGAACCACTGCTCTCACTATGAGACATCTCCTTTAGCAGTGGCAAAATATAGTGATAGGTTTTTACCCTTTCAACTGGCGTCATCTGGTCCAACATCAATGGAGACTAGGCTCTAAGAAAAGCTGTCTCGGGTGTGGACCAATCAACTTCAAGGACAGTGCATACATTATCATCATCAGAGTTGTTTCTTTTTGTTTGCATTTTGACTGCTTGTGTTGTGGTTATTGCAAACATGATGCCTCGTATAAAGGTGTCAGTTTTTGTACCAGTTGAAAGGGTAAAAATCTATCACAACCACTGCTCTCTTGGGGGAAACCAGCAGCGAGAGTATTCTTAGGTTTTGTCGGTAAAGTCACGTAGGTAAAATTTTTTTTTAATTAATAAAAGTAAAATAAAAAATAAATAAAAATCACGACGTTTCGGAGGCAACACAAGCCTCCGTCTTCAGGTGAAACCGTCACAGCACGATAGCTGTATCAAGTAACTTACTTGACCCACTAACCCAACCACCCACTCACTCACTCGCCCACTCACTCATTCACCCACCCACCCACTCACTCACCCACTCGCCCACTCACTCACCCACTCGCCCACTCACTCACTCAGTCACCCACTCGCCCACTCACTCATTCACCCACTCGCCCACTCGCCCACTCACTCACTCACTCGCCCACTCACTCACTCACCCACTCGCCCACTCGCCCTCTTACTTGATACAGCAATCGTGCTGTGGTTTGGATGAGGTGAAACCGTCACAGCACGATAGCTGTATCAAGTAAGAGAAATTCCAAGAAAACAGTCCTTGTACATATACCAGAGGTCGCAACCGGGTACCCGATACCCGCACCCTACCCGATACCCGGCTACCCGTACCCGGCCGGGTACGGGTACGGATAGCCGTTTGCGACCCTGGTGCGGCCGGGTACGGGTACGGGTAAGG